CGGAAGAGGATGAGGATGGCATGAATGATATGAATGAGGAAGTGATGTCGCTAATATGGAGCGAGGATTTGAGAGTGCAGGAAGTACGCAGACTCCTTCAGAGTGCCCGTCCTGTACGTGTCAATGTGGTGCAGATGCCAGAAGCTAGTGACCACGAATACATAGAAGAGAAAGAAAACCGGTAAAAACTCTCTCCCTTTCTAGCAGTATTTCGTTAGCATTTCACTCAGGTGAAAAATAGTTTGAAAGTTTTTGGTGGCTTAAAGTTCAGTATGTCTAACCAAACAGTGCAATGTGTTTGAGTCTGAACTGAACATTCAAGTAGGCAGGCCCAAGTGAAGGACACGCAGAAGAGTGTTGGATTTCATAATCCAAGTCTTTGAAGCTCAGTGTGCATTAAAACCCTGCTGTATTTGAGTTGGAGGGCTCTCCGGATTGGACCAGCATATGGGAAAGATTGTTAGTTTGAACCCCAAACAGCATGTTGAGATCAGTTATGGTTTGAAATCAGATTGTAGCTTTCCCTCCACGCCCCCACCTAAAAAGCATGAAATACAAGTAGGACCTACTTTGTAGAGAAAATGCCTCTGTAGAGAGCAAAGCATCATCCATCCCCTGCCTAAAACTGGAGAGCCCTTTGTTTAGGGCTGATCTTAGGTCTAAGCAAGGCTTGGGTCAGGGGACCTAATTAATTCTACAGAAAGCAAATTCACTGTTCCATCCCTCTCTTTCAAAACCTCCTATTGGAGCCATTATATGCCTAGTGGCCTCGCAATTGTCCCCATCCTGCTTCTTTATTCACTTATTTTGGGGGTGTCAGAAGTATCTTCTTTAAAAAACAGAAGAAAAAAACAGACTTCAGAACATCATTAACATGCAAAACACTCTACAGCAGTAGGAAGCTAAAGGAATGCATCAAATTATTGTCTGACCTAACAAGCTGAGTAATCTAACAAGTCTAGAAAGTGTTTCCAGAGTAGATCATAGAGAATTGTGGTCAGCATTCTTGGAAGCACGTTATTAGTTCTGTACACAGGTTATTACTAGATGTGATCACTAGTCATAGCAAGATCCCATACGGCAATCAACTTTGTTTTGCTTTCTCCTTTCATGTTGTTTCTGATATGGCTGCTAAATTGTCTGTAGCACAGATTTCTTTAACTAGCAC